TTTCCAACTTCAGTGTTTATACTCCACCGCACAACGCTTTTCTCCTCATCCGTACCACCGACCCTCCCATGTTTTCTCTATCCCACCCTCTCGCGCCTGCACATTTGGGTGCCGCTAAGCCCAAATTCCGGTACATGCTTCAGGCAGGAGTCATTCACTAGACTATAAGCCCTTTGGCTTCGGTCCTACACGGGGTTTCTCAAAACTGCCACTGGTAACTAGCACCCCTTCGACGACTACTGATCCCTGAACAAAGTCACCTTTCTTGACGGTTAACCTGTATCACATCTCGGGGACTTTTCTGGCGCCCTGTTTGCCAATTCTATCTTCTCCAAAATCGACTTCGACGGCGAGTTCCATCAAATACCATCGCCCCAGAGGACGATTCAAAAATGGTTGTCATCACATTTTTCGATCTCCATGAGCTCCTGCTCATGTCGTTTGATCATTTCAGTGCACCGCAAACCTTCCAAAAAGTCGTCCTTTTGGCCATCCTTGACGACCTTTTTGTCTACTGCCAAAGAAAACGTGATACATCTTGCTGCAGTGCTTGGCGACTTTTAACGATTTGACGTTGTCCTCAATCCGCCCAAGATCATCTTCGAGACTTTCTTTCGGGACTTTTCGGGTTCCTTTGCGATTCTAGCGGAATTCTATCCGCCCCCGTCTAAGATCTTATCCATGCGCATGGTTCCGCTCCCCACTCCCACTTCCAAGCGTCCACCGCTGAGCCTGTTTGCTTTGTTGGAGTCCTGCCACCGGTTTCTCGCGAACGGCTTTGACACCATTTGTCACCTATAAACCTCCTCTGGGGTCCCAGAGATTTGCTCGAGCTCTCCGCATAGCCACTGGCTGCTTTTGACAAGGTTGTGTCTTCCTTGGCTGACGCCATCTTCCTGATCCACTCTGCTCCCTACGCACTTATTTCTTCATGGTCGACGCCTCTACTGTTGTAGCCGGCACGGTTCATCAGCAATTTCTCATAAGTTAAGCCCAATCCTCGACCTTGTTCTTTAGAAGATCTCCACCTGCCATAACGCTGATCACCGACCACTGGAATGCACAAGCACTGGAACCACCATACATCGACCATTTCGGTGTTGTCCATCGAGGGTCGAAGACACTCCGTATCCAACGCGGAACCCAAGATGGGGTCGTGAGCATGAAGGGCTTCAAAGTTGTTGTCCCGGTCATTTCTGCGGATGAGCCGTGCGGTCTTCCGCCCCATCTACTCCACCTTCCCCATTATCCGCTCCCCAACTTTCCCGTCCTCTGTCCGTCTTCGTCTGCTGCTTCTAACCGTAACTTGATCTTCCCCCAATTACTCCAATGCAGCACGTACTGGAATCTGTACTCTTGCTTATCCTGAAATTGTCACACGCACTAGAGGTCTTCTTCATTTTTCTGATCGTTGTACAGTGCGTGTCTTAATGCTAATTGCATTTAATGTCAGTTTGCAAGCACTGTTAAAGAAAAATAAAGCACAAATTGGGCTAATAGTGAAAAAAAGCCTTACGATTAAACACTGAAGATGATATTTTTTTGTATTTTGGATGGTTCAGGAGAAAAAACTGCTGCCCATGAAATTAAGCCAGCCCAGAAGAGGATGAGTAACGCTGCTTCAACTATTTTCAATTTAGATTTTTTCACATGAAATTGGTACTGGACAAAATAGGGACATTAAAAAAAATTGTTCGGTGGTGGCTGAAAAAGTCGTCCGTGGCGTGACGGACCAGGGTATCAGAGATCACGAACTCCATCACTACGGCAGAGTAAATTGGCGGAATCGGCACCAAAAAATGTGGGAAATTTTCTGGTTGCAAAATGCGAGTAATGGTTCTCTTAAACAAAGGATGATTTTGCAGCATTTTTGCATTCCTGTGTAGTTTGTCCCAAATTGTAAATGTGTTCACAGAAAAGGAACTGTGATATATAACGGAACGAGCCAGAGGAAGAAGTAAAAAGACCTTGCGTTGACTACTACGCCGAGGGTGGTAGAGAAGTTTTTGAGTAGTAAGCGGGTTAAACGTACGACTGTTTAAGAGCCTAGACAGTAAAAAGTTTCTTTTGTAAACAAAGAAACCACAGGGGATCAAGGCCTGTAAGCTAGCAGCGTTCCCGATAGGTCACGTATTGGCGGTCCTAGGTTAAAACTCTCTTGGTAAAAAAATGTTGGACGGATTCTATTTTCTTGCTCTTAGCAGCAATTGCAGGGCTAAATAAAAATGAACAGTATTCCAGGCCAGGTGCGACGTACATTTTGTAAAGACAAATTCTAACATGACCAGTCCTTAAATTTTGGAGGATAAACCCGGTCGTTCTGCGTGCTTTTGCGGCTATCATAATGCAGTGCTCCGAAGGACTAAGACTCTTGGAGTATGATACATCCAGATCCTTAATAACTTCAGGCATATTTATTTCATGACCGTCAATACTTAGTTGGCGTTGGTGGTCATCGCCAACCATCAAGACTGAGCAGTTATGCCAAGAAACAGAAAAGCGCCATGTGTGGTACCACTGGGCAAAGACCTGTAGATCGCTCTTTGGGAGTTCGAGCATCATACCCGATCTTCCGGCTTATACCTGTATGCAACTTTCAGATCATCGACATACATGAACGGCTTACCAGTCTGAAATAAGTCTGGCACGTCGTTGACAAAAAGACCAAATTATGGAGTGCAGAGTACACTACCCTGAATGACCCCTACTCCTCACGCATATGGGGTTGGAGATTATATTGGACATCTTAACCCATTGTGTGCGACTACCCAGGTACGAGAGTATCACAATCAAGAGTTTACCGCCTATTCCGAAAGAGTAAAGTTTCATTAGAAGAAAAGAAGGGTTGACACGATCAAAAACCATAGCGAAGTCGAAATAGGCTGTGTGAAGCGCAGGACCATTGTCCCTAGATTGAAGAACATGATCAATTAAAGAGAACTGACAGGTTTCATAAGACCGAGCTTTGAGGGATCTATGCTGAGCAGCACTCGGTAGGTTATTCTCTGTTAAATGATGCATCGTCTTATCATTGACCAATGTGTCTAAGATTTTCGAAACTGTCAGGAGGGTGTTTGTTGGTTAAACGTCGTCAAATGACGTAGATTGACCGTGCTTGGGGATGGGCAAGGTGTGTGATTCCTTCCATAATGTATGGTAGGTTTCACTTTCAAGATCAAAGTTAAATACCTTGCACGGGAGAAGCGGGGAAATGTCATTTGCATCCGCTTTTAATATGCTGACTGGGAAACCGTCAGGCTCCGGAGTATGAGATTGACGAAGAAGCCGAATCGCTGCAGTCACGTCCGACAGAGTGAAAGTTATTGTTTAGAGAGCAGCCCAGTCCCAGCCTGGACGGTCAGAAGCGGAGTGGTCGAGTTGTTAATAAACTTTTTTAACAAGAAAGCATTTAAATTATCGGCGGCCAACTGAACCTCTGCTGCAGAATTTTCAAGAGTATCTCGGAGGATGGGAAACTGTGTTTTCACAAGAGCCTTTACTTTTCGAAATAAAAGTTTCGCGACGTTTAACGAGCGATTCTCGGGAAGTAGAATTCTTTGACTGGTCACTTTTCTTCGGACAACCTCTTAGCCCGCTCAAAAATATCACAAATTGAGTGCAGAATGGAAGCGTCATTCTGAAAGTGGAATCGACGAGAAAGTCTGCGCAACCTACGGCGAAGGGATAAGCATTCTCCCCGACATTAGTTATTTTCTTACGGGAACAAAACGAGAAATAAGCGGGTACAAAATATCGCAAGGTGTATGGGTGTCCATCGGTGGGTTCACGTGAGGGTCGTAGTAGGTCACTCACTTTCGTACATGTGCAGACTACGCCTAACGTCTATTTTATGGCACCCAACTCTCACATGCGGCTCCCCGATTCTGGGCTCTGTCGAGCAGCCATACCCCGCTAACCACCTCGGCCAGCAGACTAAACCAGGTGAGGGTATCCGTGCACGCAACTGCGCGCACGGTAATGTGGACTCCGGTGGCGGGGTGGATCTTTGCGTCGGCATCGTCAAGACGACGCTCCGCCTGGACCATCGCAGGAGGCCACGAGGCAAGTGAGCTTTTAGGTAGGCGAACGTTGCTCTGTTTCCTTACTCACATGTTAACGTTACATGCTGTATGCTGCTCTTGTTGCCTGTTCTGTCTCTCTTTACTTATAGCTAGCTGTTATTGTGCTGGACTTCGTATGTTGCCTTTCTTATTGCAGTTCTTGCCTGCTGACTATATCTGCTTGTCCAGCCTAACTGTAGATCATATGCTCGTTCTGTTGATTGCATCTTCCCTCCTACTCAGTCCCGCCGCCAAGGTCCCAGGCTAATTCGCGTCGTTTTCTCACTAACGCAAAACCGTGGCCCATAGTGTAGTTCGGCAACGGTCTGGGATAACCCGGCAACCCTATTTAGGGCGCGCTGTCTGACCCCGCGAGCGGAAAGGGGCTAGAAAAGGTGCCCAAAAAATGCTGGAAACCACGCCTTCTGTAGGCTGACACCGGCCGCAGACAAAAAGCACACAGAAAAAAAAACCAAGATCGAGCCAACAACCATTTCTCTCTTCCTATTCCTGCCTTCTCCGCTTCTCCTCCGCTTCCTCCTGCTGACCCACTCGTCAGACTGATAGGATGAGTCCGCTCACTCTGACAGTCTGGAATGTTCGTTCCCTTTTAGACAATCCGAGGTCCAACCGACCGGAACGGAGGACAGCGCTAGTGGTCCGGGAACTGGCGCGCTACAAGGTAGACATCGCCGCACTCAGCGGGACTCGATTTTCCGAACAAGGCCAACTGGAGGAGAGGGGTGCCTCTACACCTTCGTCTGGAGTGGTCGGCCCAGAGCAGAGCGATGAGACGCGGGTGTCGCCTTTGCCATCCGGACCGACGTCGTAGAAAGACTGTCCTGTCTACTGCCGGACATCAACGATCGCCTGATGAGACTCCGCCTGCCTGTCTAGGGAGGCAAATTCGCCGCCATCATCAGCGCCTACGCTCCGCCGATGAGCAGCCCCTACGCCGCCGCAAGAGACAAATTCTACGAGGACCTTTACGCCCTCTTGGCGACTGCGTCGAAGACGGAGAAGTTGATTGTCCTTGGTGACTTCAACGCCCGCGTCGGCACAGACCATGCTGCCTGGAGAGGAGTGCTCGGTCCACATGGTCTCAACGGCTCTAACGACAATGGCCTACTCCTTCTCCACACCCGCGCAGAACACCGACTCATCCTGAAGAACACCTTCTTCTATCTGCTGATGCGAAAGAAGGCCACCTTGATGCATTCTCGATCGCGTCAGTGGCACCTGCCGGGCTATGTCCTGGTCCGGAGGTGAGACAAGCGGGACGTGCTGCTGACAAAAGCGATTTAGTGTGCCGACGGGTAGACCGACCATCGCCTCGTCATCTCGAAGATGTGAATCCGGCTACAGCCTCGCAGGAGACCGCAGGGTAAGCGACACTCAGGTAAGCTGAATATTACCTTGTTGTTTTTGCCCGCTCACCACTTTCATTTCAGCAATGAGCTAGCCCAACGGCTAGACAACCTTCCAGTCGCTGCTGCCGCCGCCGCTGACGAGAAAGCCTCGATGGAAAACCGACAATGTCAATTGCGGGACACAGTCCAGTCGAAGGTGCTTGCCGTCCTCGGCCGCGCACACCGCCAACACCAATACTGGTTCGACGACAACGACGCCGCCATCAACAACCTGCTCGCCGAGAATAACCGTCTCCACAAAGCCTACGTCGACCACCCAACCGAAGACAACACAGCTGCTTTCCATCGCTGTCGTCGTCTCCTGCAACAGCGACTGCTCGCGAGGCCGAGGAGATCCAATGATAAGCGGATCGCAACGAATGGAAGAACTCCGCGATCAAAGCTGTCTAGGGTCCTCCCACTAAGGACATTGCTCCTCTCCTCAGCGCCGACGGCAGTACACTCCTCGCTGAAACGACACAAATTCTACAACGATGGGCCGAGCACTTCCAAGGCGTCCCCAACCACCTCTTCACTATCTCCGACGCCGCCGTCGCCCGTCTGCCGCAAGTGGAGACCAACGTGGACCTCGGCCTCCCGCCCTCTCTCCAGGAAACCATCAAGGTCTTGTAGCAGCTGTCCGGTGGGAAAGCGCCCGGATTGGCCACGATTCCTACTGAGGTCTACAAGGACGGCGGCCGCCAACCCATGGATCACCTTATTACGCTCTTCAAGGAGATGTGACATCAAAGAGAAATCCCGAAGGGTTTCAATGACGCCAAAATCGTGCATCTATATAAGCGGAAAAGAGATCACCAGTTCCGCGACAATCATCGAGGCATGTCCTTGCTGCATATTCCCGGAAAAATCTTTGCCTGCACCCACCTCAACAATTACCTAGAACAGGGTCTTCTGTCGAAAAGCAAGTGCGGCTTACGCCGTCATAGTGAAATCACCGGCATGATCTTCGCCGCCCGTCAGGAGAAGGGCCAGGAGATGCGGACACACCTGTATTTTACCTTCGTTGACCTAACAAAGGCCTTCGACACGGTGAATCGTGAAGGACTGTGGAAGATCGTGCGGAAATTCGGCTATCCCGAACGACTCCCTCAGATGGTACGCCAACTCCACGACGGCATGGTGGCGCGAGACACGGACAACAGAGCTGTCTCAGGGGAATTAGCAGTGGCCAACGGAGTGAAACAGAGACACGTCCTGGCGCCCACCCTCTTCAGTCTCATGTTCTCTTCCATGCTGATGGACGCCTACTGTAACGAACTTCCCCGGATTCGCATCGCCTACCGGACGGGCGGTCACCTCCTCAATCAACGGCGGATGTACTTCCAATCACGAGTATCCCCAACCGCTGTCCACGAACTTCTCTTCGCCGACGACTGCGCCCTCAACACCCCCTCGTAAGCGGACATGCAAATGAGCACGGACCTCTTCTCCGCCGCCTGCGAGAACTTCAGTCTGGTCAGTAACACGGAGAAAACGGTGGTCATGCCCCAACCGCCATTCAACACAGCTCCTTCCCACAATGCGCACAGATCAGCGTGGACGGGACCTAACTGCAAGAGGTGGACAACTTCCCCTATCTGAGCAGTAACCTCTCCCGCAGCACGAAAATCGACGACGAAGTGGCCCGCCGGATTTTGAAGGCTAGTCAGGCATTCGGTCACCTTCAGTTAGGAAACGTCATGGTCGCCAGCTCAGCATGAAGCTGAAGATGTAAAAGGCCGTCGTCCTCCCGACGCTGCTGTACGAAGCAGAGACTTGGACGGTGTACACGAGGCAGGCACGCGGACTCAACCACTTCCACCTGATCTGTCTTCGCCGCATACTGAAGCTGAGGTGGTAAGACCGAATCCTGGACACTGATGTACTGGAACGGACGGGAATCCTCAGCATCTACGCCATGCTGAAACAACTGCAGTTGCGTTGGAGCGGCCACTCCATGTGGATGGACAATGAGCGGCTATCCAAACGACTCTTCTACGGAGACGTCGCCACGCGTTCTCACAGCCAAGAAGGCCAAATTCGTTGATACAAGGATATTTTGAAGCCCTCCTTGAGGCGTCTGCAAATCAATCCGGTCAACGGGGAGGACCTCGTCCGAGACCGACCGACATGGAGGAGGACAGTGAAGCCGGGTGCTGCGATATTCGAAGCAACCGCATCACCTCCACTCAAGCCAAACGCGGAGCACGCAGGTCCCAGCTGCGCCCACCCCGCAGTGCCAACACACAACCTCCTTCAACGTGTCCACGGTGTCAACGGATATTCCACGCAGCAGTTCAGAAGACGAAGATGCGATCACTGGAACAGGAAATTTATTGGCCTCACATTTCGGATTCTCATTCGAATCCATCATCAGAGACATTCGCAGATAAATGTGATGGTGGCACGGGGAGTGCTGTATTTATAGCACGTGGCTTCCGTGGGACCGCATGCACATTGCAATTAACAGTTCTCGCAACCACCACTGGGGTCGCAATTGATGCGGTGGTGGCTTGTCGGTCCGAGTCCTAGTCGTTAATTGCCGTGATTTCGTCATCCGTGCTGGATGATGGTGTGACGATTGCTCGGCAACCTGGCTCACTGTCACTGTGCTAATTGCTCGCCCCCGCCCTCCCCACGTGACTGATTCCCCTGCCCAAGGAAAATCTCAACACGGAATATGGCACCGGGAGGTCATTGTGCTTGTTGATGGTTTGCGGGCCTGAGAATCATGACTCGAGCAGCTCGCGGCTCACGAGGTTGTCACCCCTTGCGAGGATTTCGGACCCTTGAAATTTGAAAACATGTCCGGCTCCCGTCGAGTGTGCCGCCACCTGAGAGCTAGCGTCTCCCCGCCTTACTGCTGCAGCGATATTCGAAGCGACCGCATCACCGCCACGCAAGCCAAACGCGAAGCACGCAGGTCCCAGCTGCGCCCACCCCGTAGTGCCAACGCACAACCTCCGCGACGTGTCCACGGTGTCAACGGACATTTCGGGCGTCATTTGGACTTCTTGGACGCCTTCGGATCAACTGCATTTCTCGGACCATGAGCCGTCGTCCGTCCATCCACCCATTCCTCGTTCTCTTCTCCGTCAACTGATTATGACCGTCTTCCTGAACCACCACTTCCATCCTCCTCCTCCTCCACCCCTCCTCATCTTCCTCCCTCCCATCCTCCACTTTTCCCTCCTCCGCCTCCTCCTACTACTCTTCCCTCTCCTACCCCACCTCCGCCTCCGCTGCTTCAACGCCTGCTGTTGTGGCGACTGCCACGCACATCAACGCTGCACACAATCCTGGCGCAACAAAAAACACCTACATTACCACCGTCAACGCCAGAGGTGAGGACCTGGACTATACCTGTCCTCACTGCGACCGCATCTTTACCCTACGCATCGGCCTGGACGGTCACTTGCGAATCCGTCGCACAGAGACTGGTGAACTAGCGCCTGGAGCACCAACCTACACCCGCCGCACCTGTCGCCACTGTCCGCACTGCCCTCTCACATTCACGCATCGCATGCGTCTATCCATGAGAGTGGAATTGACCGCAGTCCCTACATACGCTCCACGCCCAGTCTCTCCCTCACTTCGTCGCCCTGTGCGTCCACCGCCACTACCACCATCTCCGTACCTGACACCGACACCATCGACTTCTCAGGCCCACACTGTCCACGCACATTGACCTCGCGCGTCGGCCTGGACGGTCACTTGCGAATCAATCGCACAGAGACTAGCAAACCAGTGCCTGAAGCACCAATCTACATCCGCCGCCTCCGCCTCCTCTGTCCACACTGCCCTCGCACTTTCATGCACCACGTGGGCTTATTCGGTCACATGCGCATCTACGAAAACCTGCGGTAGACAACCACCGGCTGCACCACACCGCGACATTCTCCCTCACCAGCATTTCATCGCACGTCAGTATCACCCACCGCAAGCATCAAACTGCTACCTGGGGAGTGTGCGTCTCGACTCGGACTCCGTGCGGCTCCAGTTGCACGGGTGACTCGAGCCTGAGACTGTCCTGACGCGCCAAGCTCCGCGGATTGGCAGGCTTTTGACTGAGGCCCCAACCTGGTCCACGCAGTTCGTCCAGTTGTGTGTGAGTTGTATGGAGTGGGGGAGCGGTGGGCCGGGAGCCGGGCCGAATCAGTTCCTTCCACGGCCCTCTCACGCATGTGAGAGATACGCCGCTCAGTCCACATTGAGTAGAATCCTGGTGTTGGCGTATGGGGGATCAGGTCGTGCATGTGGCGCGCGCAGACAAGGTCACCAAACCATGTCAGTCACGTCCATCCCCCGCTTCAGCAACTGACCGGCTCGGACAGTTGCTGGGGTGTCGGAATAGGAAGGGAGAGTGAGGTCGACGACTCAGCGCATTTCTTCACTACAAACAATCTAACGCGCTTGGAGCTATCACGGTTCGTTAAAAACCGTGGTTTGGAAGGTTGCCAACTGGCAGGATAACTTAAAGCTTACAGTCGGCCTAGTGTTGTGCGTACTTGTGTGCAGTGGCCGACTGGTGGTCTGAGAGTCAGACTGCAATGGTTCCTTCTTAATGTGGCCTTTATGGCACTGCTACTACGTGGGATCCGATACGGTTGTGGACGGCACGCCTAGGTGCGGCCTCGGTCGTGCCAGCCTCCATTTTCTATGACGCTGGTCAAAAACCCGGTCATTTATTGTGTGGACCAGGGGGTGTGAAGTGGAACGCCTAGGTGCGGGCTCGACCGTACAATCCACCCGCACCCTCCCCCGTCTCCCGTCTTATTGACTCTGTCTTGACACTGAGTGCAAATGGTGGAGAAGGAAAGACTGTGGTAGATGCAGCGCAAGTCTTCTCTCACTATAATCCTGCACAAGTCACCGTCCCTGTCCCACTCTGCTGTGGAACACACAATGGGCATCGTCGAAATAAACGGTCAAACTATCGGTCTGAGCTCCCGATTGGACCTAGGGATGAAAGAGGTATCAAGTCCCTAAAGAAAATTAGGTCAAGTATGCTTGATCCTGTGGTGGGAAAATCGACAGCCTGACTCCACATGCCAACATCCACAGTATCAAGTAAGTCTCCGAACTTTTGGGGCCAGACGGCGGAGACTAATGGACTTCAAGAAGATTGAAGTCATCCGCAACCATTTGATACTTAAAGCTTAAGTCAGCCGCAGCATGCAATGTCACTTGGAGACGACTATCAAAATTCTCAATGGCGTTTTGAGGGCGACAGACACGGCCAAAATGTGAAGAGAACTTATTTTCTAGAGCGATTTCGGGCCAGCAGCTGCCTTCTACCGTGGGAAAATAAAGAAGTTCCGGCGGAAAAATTGAGTGTTTGCTTAACGTAGATGCAGCTCCCCCACCACGACTGTCTTGACGGTCATTGCGAATGTAAGTGTAGACCAGAAGAGAGAGTTGAGAGTCAGTCACGGAGGCTTTTGCCCATGTCTCAGTCGCTAAAATAATATCTGGGCAATGGACGAACACCAGATTTAATCAAAAAACAATGGCTAAAGAACTTTGCGTCACTTAGAAAAACACTTAAGTATAATATATTCCACTTATCTTCAAATCTTTGACAGGAACAATCCCCTCAGACTCGTTTACCTCCGGCTCTGGTCTATCAGGGGGTATTATGACTGTGCGCGCTCGCGATCGACAGCGCTGCCGCTTACCCGTGCCACCTTTGATCCGCTTTACTTCCCCCGTCACTCAATTGTTTTCACCGTACATGTCTTGACCTCGGTGTGGCGACAGCTTGACGTTTATTGACGTGCTTCCTTTTGCTGGTTGGCTGTAGGCGGCGAAACCCCAGGTGCACTCACGCATTTCGTGCCGCAGCTAATGACCTAAACAGCTGACACTCGGCTGAAGAGAATAGCTGCCACTACTTGCCCATCTGCCTGTATGCCCTCTTAATGGGGTTGATGTTGTCCAAACGATCTAGTCTCCCTGCCCTTTGATCTAGGAAGCATCGAGGTGTCTACCATCACACTTGGACAGGACGTGTTGTGCAACCTCTTCCGTAAAATGAGTAGTTTTTCCTGAGGATTATGTGCAGTAGCTATCTGAGCCATTCTCAACGCCTCACTCTGTTGCCGAAATAAGCATATTCATTTTCTGCTGCCTAATTAAACCTCACATGAAAAAAACCAACGCTAGATATTTATTCACTCCCTGGTAGGCTTTCCGGCACCCGAAAAGCAAATATTCCAAATAAGTATTTCCCAGAACAGCACGATGTGGTCGCCTCAGTCCATGGAAAGTAAACACTTCACCTCATCAACGCAGTTTGCTAATTTTATGAGCAACAGATCGAGGTAATTGTACTGCTGCACTTTACGCACCCTCATCGGAAACGGGAATTAGTGAGTGACGACTAACCCGGACCTCATGTCCAATAAACGTCAGCTAAA